TCACTGTCTTAAGAGTTTGCATACATAGTTGACTAAAAATCTTATTTCCTTAGGATGCTGCAGAAACAGACCTGTGTTTTAAAGGGGGTTGCCTGCTCCTACACTGTTGGTGGGAATGTAAACTGGTACAGCCCCTCTGGAAAACAGTGTGGAGGTTCCTAAGGAAACTAACAATAGAACTCCCCTATGACCCAGCAATAGCACTGCTAGGAATTTACCCAAGAGATACAGAAATGCTGATGCATGGGAGCACATGTACCTCAATGTTCATAGCAGCACTCTCCACAATAGCTAATTAGAACATGGAAAGAGCCTAAGTGTCCATCAACAGATGAATGGATCAAGAAGATGTGGTTTATCTATACCATGGAATACTACATGGCAATGAGAAACAATGAAATCTGGCCATGTGTAGCAACATGGATGGACCTTGAGGGTGTTATGCTGAGCGAAATAAGTCAGGCAGAGAAAGACAAATATCATATGTTTGCACGTATAGGAGGATTAGGAGGAACTTGACGGAGGAACAAGGGGGAGAAGAAGGGGGGAAATGGTGGGGGAAAGGGAGAGAGGCAAACCATGAGAGACTCTTGAATGCTGACAAAAACTGAGGACTGATGGATGTGGGGGGAGGAGGGATGGGCATGGAGGAGGGCACTTGTGGGGATGAGCACTGAGTGTTATGTGGAAACTAATTTGACAATAAACTATTTGTAAAAAAAATAAATAAATAAAAGGGGTTGCCTGCCGGGTTCCCCCCTCCCCCCCGTATCTCTGGGTCCCATCCCGCTTTTATCAGCAATAATGAAGCAACAGAAAGAGAAATCAAGAAACTTGATCCCATTCACAATTGCACAAAAAACCATAAAATACCTAGGAATAAACCTAACCAAGATATAGGAGATCTGTATGATGAAAACTATAGAAAACTTATGAAGGAAATTGAAGAAGACACAAAGAAACAGAAAAACATTCCATGCTCATGGGTCAGAAGAATAAATATTGTTAAAATGTCATTACTACCCAAAACAATCTACACATTCAATGCAATCCCAATAGAAATTTCACCAGTATTCTTCTCAAAACTAGAACAAACTATCCTAAAATTCACATGGAACCACAAAAAACCCCGAATAGCCAAAGTAATACTGAAGAAGAAAACCAAAATGGGAGGCATCACCATCCCAGACTTTAACCTCTACTACAAAGCTGTCATCATCAAGACAGTATGGCATTGGCACAAAAATAAACATATAGACCAATGGAATAGAATAGAGAACTCAGAATTGGACCCACAAATGTATGGCCAACTAATCTTTGACAAAGCAGGGAAGAGCATCCAATGGAAAAAAGACAGCCTCTTTAACAGATGGTGCTGGGAGAACTGGACAGCAACATGCAGAAGATTGAAACTAGATCATTTTCTCACACTATACACCAAAATAAACTCAAAATGGATAAAGGACCTGAACGTGAGACAGGAAACCATCAAAACCCTAGAGGAGAAAGCAGGAAACAACCTCCTTGACCTCAACCGCAGCAATTTCTTACTTGACACATTCCTAAAGGCAAGGGAATCAAGAACAAAAATGAACTACTGGGACCTCATCAAGATAAAAAGCTTCTGCATGGCAAAGGAAACAATCAAACAACTAATAGGCAATTGATGGAATGGGAAAAGATAGTAGCAAATGACATATCAGATAAAGGGCTAGAATCCAAAATATATAAGGAACTCATCAAACTCCACACCCAAAAAACAAATAATCCAGTGAAGAAATGGGCAGAAGACATGAACAGACACTTCTCCAAAGAGGACATCCAGATGGCCAACAGACATATGAAACGATGCTCAGCGTCCCTCATCATCAGGGAAATACAGATCAAAACCACACTGAGATACCACCTCACGCTGGTCAGAGTGGCTAAAATGAACAAATCAGGAGACTCTAGATGCTGGCGAGGATGTGGAGAAATGGGCACCCTCCTACACTGCTGGTGGGAATGTAAGCTGGTGCAACCCCTCTGGAAAACAGTATGGAGGTTCCTCAAAAAATTAACAATAGAACTCCCCTATGACCCAGCAGTGGCACTGCTAGGAATTTACCCAAGGGATACAGGAGTGCTGATGCATAGGGGCACATGTACCCCAATGTTCATAGCAGCACTCTCAACAATAGGCAAAACATGGAAAGAACCTAAGTGTCCATTAACTGATGAGTGGATCAAGAAGATGTGGTATATTTATATGATGGAATACTAAATGGCAATGAGAAAAAATGAAATATGGCCATGTGTAGTAACATGGATGGAACTCGAGGGTGTTCTGTTGAGCGAAATAAGTCAAGCAGATAAGGACAAAAACCATATGTTTGCACATATAGGTGGATTAGGAGGAAGTTAACGGAGGACGAAGTGGAAGGAGAAGGGGAAAAATAGTTGGGGAGAGGGAGGCAGGCAAACCATGAGAGACTCTTGAATGCTGAGAACAAACTGAGGGCTGAGGGGGGTGAGGGAGAGGGGAAGGGGGGTTATGGGCATGGAGGAGGGCACTTGTTGGGATGAACACTGGGTGTTATATGGAAACCAACTTGACAATAAACTATAAAAAATAAAGGGGGTTGCCTGCAATAGGGATTTTGATGCCTTTTAAAATAAGCATAGAGGGATTCTACCAGTATTTTTGTTCTTAGACCCAATATACTTTTATTTATTTAAAAATTATTTATAATATTTATTTTTGAGGGAGAGAGCTCATAAGCAGGGGAGAGGCTGAGAGAGAGACACACACAGAATCCAAAGCAAGCTCAAGGCTCCAAGCTAGAAACATAGAGCCTGATGTGGGGCTTGAACCCACAAACTGGGAGATCATGACCTGAGCCGAAGTTGGATGCTTAACCAACTGAGCAACCCAGGCACCCCGAACCAATATACTTTTAATCAGCTATCAAGCCCAAAGATAATAAACAACCAGTGGTGTGTGGTGTGGTGTGAGCAGGCTCAGGGGACCACCTGCACTCTTGTGTTGTGTTGGTCAGAAAGCACACTCAGCTTGCACTTCTTTCCTGTAAACACTTGGTGTGGCATTTCTACTCATCGCCAAACCCCGAACAAACCAGCTGCCATGGGGAGCAGCTGAATCAGTCTTCACACTCAGTTAATGTGCTCCACTCAAAAGAAAGGGCCTCATGTCGATCATATGTGGCTCTGAAGTTCCATTTATTGAAGCAGTCTAAAATGAAAAATTAAATTTTATGTCTATTCTTTTTTCCTATCTTCAAAGTTCTAGTGGTAATAACATGAGCTATAAATTTGAGTATGAGTTTCAGAGAAAATTGGAGAAATGATTGTTTTCAGACTCAAATTTGTCACTAACTCACTATGTCAGGTCCCTTTTCTGAGCCTCATCTTCCCCACCAGCCATCTGAGAAGGGACTTCTCCTGCCCACCTCCTGGGATATCTGTTGTGAGAATCAGATGTGACCATGTGTGCAAATGTCCCTTGAGGAGGCAGCACAAAGCACTGTGAAATATAAAATGTTGTCTGTGTGGATGAGCTGATGTGCTGTGACCTCTCAGCGGATAAGTTCACATTTGGATAATCAGAGCAAAGCTAAAGCCCCAGTGTGACTCCTCTTTCTCATTCCTATTTTGCTTTGAATTAAATTCACTTCCTTCTCCATTAACTTTCAAAGAGCATTTATGAAACATCTTTCAGCTTCTGATTTTCTGCTGTTTCTGGAGCCAAATATGTAGGCATGAGCCTTGCCTTCTGAGATCTTAGAATCTAAGTCAGATAACACAGGAAGGTATAAAAGATGAAAGGTACAAATTTTCAACAACATGGCTTGAACATCAATAACATTTAGTGAAAGTACACAGGTGCATTAGGTACTCAGGAGAAGTGGAAGTTGCACATTTCAAATGGTGTGATCAGGGGTGGGGGTGGGGGCGGCACCCTGGAGTAGAGTTGAGAAGCTCCTTACTGAAGACAGAGGAGCTGTCCAGCCAGAGGAAGTAGCATGGAAAGAGATGAGTGGATCTGGGGAACATCTAGAAAGTGGGTGAGGCTGAAAATGGGTTGATCCTGATCTGCTATAGTATGGGGACAAAATCCTTGACCATGTTTAGGGAGTTATATAAGAGGAAGAAATGGTGTTATGAGGATGTGTTTTCAGTAATACAGCAAGAGAATAACTAGGTTTCAGAAACAGGTCTACAGAGGAAGGGATGCAGTCTGGAGGAGGAAGAGAAAACACCAAGAACTGCAGAACGCCCAGATGCAAAGTAGGGACACAGTGATAAGAATTCCATGAGTTACTGCACACCTCAGTGGTCAGCCACTTGTCCATGTTAAATATGTTGTGGAGCACAGTGGGTAAGAAATAAAGATATTTGACTTCTTTTTTTCTTTAAAATTTTAAATGCAAATACATTTTTTTTCATGTGAAAAGGCATAAAATTTCCTTTACAGACAACTTGTCATTTATCCATCATGTAACATCAAATGCACCTATAATCCCTTAAAATGAGTAGGATTCTTTTGAGGGCACAGTGCCAAATCAAAGACATCATTATGGAAAAACACGCATACTCAACTGAATTTCACAGTGGATAAAGGCCATTATTTTACATATGTTTAAACTCTCTCATTCCTGACAAGGTTCTCAGGATATAGTTTCTTAGTTAACGTAGCAAATCAATTAATGATTAAATTAGCAGCTATGGATCTGCCTGATAACAGTATAAAGTAAGTGGATGATTCAGGAGTAAGTGGCTTCTTGACTTTAATTTTAATTACTTTGAAACAACATAATTTAGTACCAAATGTTTAAACACCCATTATAAGTGCTAGACTGTGAAATCAGCATTATTTCTATCTGATCAACTATACAAAACTCACCAATTTTTCTTTAGAAAACAGTAGAAATCCCAAAAGAATAAAAGAGAGACTACTAATGAAAGGTCACGTTTACTAATCTAGCACCATAATTCTAGTCTTAGGCCATCCCAAGTGGCTGCAAGGAGGATGGGAAGAGGTGAGGATGTTGGAAAGGGTAGTTCTGAACTTCTAGCCCCATCTGTTGCTCTAAGGCAATACAGGATCTAACAGAGAGGAAAGCTTTTGGTTCAGATGATAAGGAGCCCTCAAGAACAGGAGAATCAGTACATCCAGAAGGCGGTGCTGGAGTCCGCCTAATGAACTAGGGGGTTTCTTCTTAGCATCCAAGTCCTTTTTAATTTCTTCAAGTTTTTTTTTTTTTTTAGCCAGATTTGGTATGTCATAGTTCTGGGCCAGATACATTCCAGCCACATTGCCAAAAGCAAATCCAAGCAGAAACTGGAGCATGGTATCTGTGAGGAGGGAGTGAAGGGCTCAAGATATTTAACTTCTTAACAGCAACCTACAAGAAAATGGGCTACCAAAGGCAAAGTTCCCAAAGATATCACTTCAAGCATGAAGAATACCCTATATGCTATGATGTGAATGTGGCTATGTGCATGGAGTCAAGGGTTCATAATCATACACAAAATAAAACGGAGGCAGGATCAGTAAGCTATACTCATAGAATCCTCTATGGAAGCTGGGGACTCTAGACTAACCAATCAGAAGTCAGGTATAGACTGAGTTGATCAGAAGTTGCCAAATCCAGGAAGAGGTAGCTCAATGAGCAAGAAGTACAATGGATGACAAAGAAAGAGCAGCCCCATCTTGCTGATAAGGAATGTGAGACCGAAGAAAATAATGATATATCTCTTAAAACTTCTTGGGCTGGTAAATATTAAAAGATATTGGCAAAATCCATTGTTAACGAGGATGTGAGTCAAGAAACAGTCTCATAAACCACTGGTGGGAGTGTGAGTGTGAGTTGGGATGCTTTCTAGAAGACAGTTTGACAACAGGTGTCAGGTTGTAGAGAGCGCGTGCCTGTTGTCTCAGCATTTTCTCTCTCCTAGGACTTCACCACAAGATGAAGAGATGCTATCCTAAGAACATTTACTGAAGGACTGCTTTTAACATGAGTAAAACTAGAGAAACCTAAATTCGTCACCAGTAGGAGAAGATTAAACCAGTTGTGGCATCTACAATAAAGGAATGCTTTATGCTATTACAAATGATGATGCGTAGATCAGTATGGATTGACAGAGAAAGGTGGTGATAGCCTATCAGTGAAGACAAGTCATGAACTAGTATGCACAGCATGATTGAAAACCATTTACAGAAAATTGCATACCTCCTGTTGTATATATATAAGAAAGCATTGTGGTTGGTGTGGAAGCACAGTCAAGAACTTGACCCTGGTTATCTTTGCGAAGTGAGAGTTCAGATGACTATTACATTCTTCTTTGTATTTTCAGATATGGTACTTTTTTTTTTTCTTACAATGACCATAACTCATTGTTCAAAAGCAATCTGGCTATTTCTCAAGAAGAAAAACAAGGTCTCTGAGTCTAGACTCAACCCTGAGCCTTGTTGTTACCTTCCTAAAGTTTCCTTGAATGTGTGCAAAGGCTTGAGGGGTTAACCATGCACTAAATGCTGCCTTTCTTGTGTCCACTTTTGAACTGCTGGTTTAGTTCCTGCTGAAATTTCCCAAATGGAAGCGAATTTTCAGAGGTACGCAAACAATGTTATGGGTATGTTGATAGTCTTCTACGGAATTAGATAAATGCCAAGTAGAAAGAAAAAAAATAGGTCCTAGTGTTTGTCTAAAGCACAGGCACTGAGAAAACCTTCCAGAGCCCAATTATGTGGTATGACAGGAACAAGGGAGTAAGAACAAGTGAGCTCTGTGATGGACTTGGGCTCTTGGGGACACAATTAGGCCAGGTGGATAAGAAATAATTTCTTTCACCAAAAAATCATGAGTGCTCCAGGAATCTTTTTCCATAAAGACACACACATTTCCAGCATGGCTCCCTTCCAGATCTTTGGGAACTATCCTATCCAGTGAACAACTTTTCATGTTAAGAAACACCTCCCTTATCTAGAGCTTCATTTCCTTCCAATGTGACTCCACAGTGTCCACAGCCAGGGCTCTGTTAGGATATTCTCCTTATTTTCCTTTAAACCCTCTCTAATAGTGTCTTTGACAAAGCTTGCCCCTGATTTGGGGGAGGGTACTACCTAGTCTAGGCCTTCCAGTAGCAAAGCTCTAAGACAGGAAGGCAAAGGAGCCAGCAGATAAGATGCACACAGGCCCTGGTGGGCAACTTACGGAAACACTGAGGCAACTCTCCAGTCCAGGATCCATTCCCCTCACAGGTGAGCACTGCAGGCAGGGACAGCTGGTACCCCTCCAGGCAGGCATACGTCACGCTTGAGCCCCACATGAAGTCGGACCCCACCACTTTCCCATTGGGGATGAGCTGAGGTGGTTTGCAGATGATAGCTGGGGGAGGGGGAGACCAAAGCACACTGAGTTCTGGTACCATCCTAGGAAACCAGGCCCTACTCAGCAGCACCGATGTCACTGGTTACCCTGTGCCCTCTGGGACTCTGGGCTAAGCAGGGAGAATCAGGAATGCCTCCTCTTAGTTTGGGAGCTGGGGTCCTTTTGCATTTTACAATGTCCTCAAGTTGACAACCCACTCCTCTCTTTGCCCAGCCCTCCCTTTGATGTTCAAAGCCCAGGCCTTACCTTGGTACCTCCGACTGCCTCCTTGCAGATGTTCAGGGACCAGTCCTCACCTCACACCCCCCTGATGGGATATTAGGGCTCTGACTTGTCACCTCCCTCCCTTCTACATGTTCAAGGCCCATGTCTCACTTTTGTATCTTCTTTGGCCCTCTGTCCACATGTGCAGCCCTCAGACACACCTTTGCAGACTGGCTTGGTACCATTCCATGTCCGGTCCTTGGTGCAGCTCAGCACAGACACCCTATGTGACTCCATCATGTAGCCAGGGACGCACTGATATGTCACAGTTTTGTTGTACCTGAAGTCATTGCCCAGCCGGAGGCCATTGGCTGGAATCCCAGGGTCACCACAGTTTATGACTGGGATAAGGGAAATAAAGCATGGTTCACTTTCAGTACAGACCCCCTTTCTTCCCCGCATTCCAATACCATCCCTGGTGTTCCCTGCACATGGCCAGGAAGGAAGAGGGTCAGATCAGGGATGCCCTGTCTCCTCCTAGACTCCCGGTTCAGTATTGCCCTTTCTCAAGTCACTTTGGTCAAGTCTGCAAAAGTCCTCCCGCATTCCCACTGTCTTCAACCACACCATCCTTACGCACCCCAGCGACCTGCACTATGAAGACCATCTTTATTCAAAGCCCACCCCTTCTAAGAGGAAGTACCCAGAGGGTTTAGGTCCTAAGTGAGGCTGGGGCTCAGAGAGGACAGTTTTCAGGTTGATAAGCCTAATTGTGTTTTTGGGCCTCACAGGACAATTTGTCTGGGGAGAGGTGCATGTCACTACCTGTTCTGCCTTAGGAGGCCTTTGTGGGGCCAGCGGCTCAGCAGCAGGGCCTTGTGACCTTGGAATGGCTGTATATTTGTTATGGTATCAAGTGAGGGTGGGGTTTGGTGGGCTCTGGCCTCGGAACAGAAGTGAACTTGATGTGGGGATTTAGACAGAGCCTGAAGTCATAGGCTAGGGCTTGGAAAGGGGCCGTGTTGTTAGATTCCTTTATCTCATCCCTTCCCTCCATCTGGGCCATACAATGATGTGTTTCCCGAGGAGAAAGGTCTGGGGCTTCCCCTGAGGGGAACGGGAAAGGGGAGCAGTAGGACTGTCTCAGGCTTGGGAGCCAGGCCAGGGGTGGGGTGGGGAATGGGTCCAAGGCTGAGAGGAACCCACAAAGATGGCAGACGGCGGCAGCTTTCAAGTGGGAAGAGAATCAGGCTGAGCCTGGGGAGTTTGTTGTAAAAGAGAACAAGAATGCCCAAGGAACAGGCTAGAGTCTGAGAAATGGCAAATGTATATATTCTCAACCTCCCTGAGCCTCAGTCACCTCATATGTAAGTGGGGCTCCCAGTAGCTACTGGCCAAATGACACAATGCATATAAAACAAAACCCTTAGCTCAGTGGTGGTCACATAGTCCATGCTCAATAATTAGACACCGTCATTCAGGGGTGGATCCCCCTAATGTAGCCAGCCTCCCAGTCTCCCACAGACAGCCATCTTTGGCACAGAGGACCTCGATCACCATGGCCACCACTTGCTGTAGAGCCTAGAGGGCCTGGGCTCTTACCTATGCATTCAGGGTCACTGCCTGTCCAGGTGCCATTGACCGAGCAGTGTCGGCTGAGCAGGCCCGTGGCGTAGTAGCCTTCCCGGCACTCGTAGACGATGGAGCTGGAGAAGCCCAGGCCGTCACTGAACATGACCCTGGCGTTGCTTGGAGTCCCAGGGTTCCCACAAGAGATCACTAGGAAGCCAGAGAAGCATATTATTCCCCAGAACAAGGGCAGGTGGCACGCGGGGGGACTGAGAATGGCCCAGAGTGCAAACTGCGTGCTCTACAAGGACGCTGTGATTGAAATGTCTCTCGTGCTGCTTTCGTGTCTGATCATTTCACCCTCAGAAGGGAAGGTAAGATCTGAATGAATTTTAATTTCTAAAAAGTAAAGACTATATCGCCTAAAATTTTAAACAATTCCTTAATATTACCAAATATCCACTCAGTGTTTAATTTTCCTCAATTGGCCCCTCTTTTATTTTACAGTTGATTTCTTTGAATCATGATTCACATATGACATCTGATGGGCATGTCTCTAAGACTCTTTGAATTCTGAGATTCTCCTATAATTTATCTGTACAGAAACCAGGGCATCTCTCCAGTGGAGTTTCCTTCTTTCTGGACGTTGCTAACTGCACCAGTGAGGTATCGTTGGACTTAATACTCTGTCCCTCACAATTCCTGTAGTCAAGTTCTGCTTCTTGGCAAGGGCGCTTCATAGGTGGTTCTGACTTTCCTACTGCATCACACCAGGGGCCACAGCATGTCTGGTTGTTTCCTAGTTCATGATGTTGAGGCTGATCAGTGGGTTCAGGTTTTTCCACCCAGTCTGGCATTACAATGTTCCCATTAGTTTTTCACTTAATGGTTTAAGCAGCAACTGATGACTGTTGACTAGATTTGTTGTTTTACCAAGGGACAGAAAATGGTGATAATATAGCTCCTATCATTCTTTCTGCATGAGCTAGAGTTCTTTAATCAAGAATTTGCCCATGATCAAATATTTGCTTACCCTGAGATACAATTCATAAAGGAAAGCTGGATAATGTTTGATTTTTTAAAAAATCAGATGTCAGAATAATGATTTGGTTTCCTAGCAAGCTCCAATGGTGACCAATAGTCATTTGGCCGTATGGATTTAAAACTTACTATACTGCTACCCATTGCCACTA